AGTATGTGCTCCAAAAACTACTTAAAGTATAAAAGTACAAAGTAAAAAAAAAAACAGCCAGATGCCACTATATGAATGGAAAGCTTAATTTTATGACAATAAAAAAAAACGTTTAGAGATCGGGCCAAGGATGAGGCAGGTCTTGTTGGTCTTCATCTCCCGATACGCTCTCACCTGTGTCCGACCTTTCAGACATTTCAACATCTTTTTCTGAATCCTACACTGTAGCATGGCATAGACAATTCATGTTTACAGTTTGAAGAACACCTGCTTGCTTCTGATGATTTCCTTTAGCTAACCAATGAGTGTTTGCGTTATATGACTCATCCAATCACACTAGTTTTCACTAGATGTGGATGGAGCCAACATTAAATCGAAGCCAAGAGTAATGAGTAACATTTGTTTTAAAAAAATAATGAGTAGAAGTCAGAAGTAGGAAGAAAAATAAGTAATGGAGCAAAGTATAGATACCTAAAAAGTGTACTTAAGTACATTAACAATGCTGCTGCTGTTCTGATGCTGGACCCAAAACCAGAATCAGGGATCATGAATAAAGACACTTTGTTTCAGAAGAGGCTTTTATTGTTAAAGAATTATGTACAGATGAGGCAGCATTTTCCATCTTTCACAAAAAAAACAGCCGTTGAACTAAAACCTGCTGCTGCCTACATTTCCCAGAACTGATCTAAAATATCTGTATCTAACTGATCAGCTGAAACAACAAAGGTTCATGATGAAACTCCGCCTCCATCCAGTCTGTAAATCAGAGGATGGCGCCACTGATCCAGGATGTGTGACAGAGTGAAGCATGATGGGAGGTGAATATGGCCTCCTACTGTTCAATCTGCAGCTCCTGCAGCTCCTTCAGCAGCTGCTCCTCCTTCTGCATCTTCTCAAGCTACAGCAGAAAAGAAGATAACATTGATGTCATCATTCTCAGTGAGATGGGAAACCTTCCCTCGGAATATCACATCCCATCACAACATTTAATCTGCTCCAGTCTGGGTTTTACGTATCCTAATGTTATACTGTTTGCAGATGATGTTAGTCAATGTTTTGAGATCCGTCACCTGGTTTTTCTGCAGAACTTTTCCAGACGCCTGCTGCTCCCTCAGCTCCTCGATGGCCTTTAGCTTCTAAAAACACACAAAGACACGACAATGAGCCTCCAATAGTGACGGGTTAATGAGGCATATTTCCAAATAGAAATAAAGGCCTGCCTCTAAATCTGGCCCAACTTCCAATAATGGCCTGGACCAAGATGTACCCGAGTTAAATAAAGGCCTCGGCCTATATTAGAGGATTTACGGTACTTATGTTTTAGTGTTGGATATCAGAATTCATTAAAGGATATTAAATAAACAGATATTATTCATCATCAACAAAGGGTATGAAAACAACAGGCAGTGGGTAACATGAACTCTATATAGAAACAGACAGTGGAGTGATTCTCTCAGCATGTTTATATCAGAGATTTTAGTAGGCTTATATTGTAATAAACCGATATAAATATCAGCTCAGGACTTAGGCACCATAAATATACTATTAATATGAATAATTTCAATTTAAAACATGAAAAACCTTTATTGTTTGCAGATATGCGCCATTTAGAACTCCTTAACTTGCAGTTTTAGCTTGATTCAAAAATCTCAGATGAAGCATGTTTCTTGTTAAAATATCAATCAGTTAAGCCATAAATGAGTCAACAAATAATCAAGTAGGGGAGTAATCTCTAGTTGCATTTATGCTATTATTATAAAGCTGTTTTTAGTGTTTTTTCTGGTCTGGAAGCAGGAGCTGCTCATGTATGCAACAACAGCTGTGCTGAAATGTACCAGAAGCGTTTCACCTTTCTGACCGACTTCCTGTCTGGTTTATCTACTTCTTAGGAACTGATGCATTTTCTGTCCAAAACAGACAGACGACAGAGAAAGATTCGTCCTTCAAAGCTCAGTGCTACTGAGCCAGTGGGAATGACTGCATAGAATAGGAAGGCTGCTATTTGTGAGAGAAAAACAAACGGTTTAAATCTGGAATATTCAAAAAGACGCTGCCGTCACAAATCAAAATGGCGCCTATAAAAACACAAAAGTTAGATGTCCTCTGGTCTCTGTCAGACCTTTAATACAGAGATACTCTTCCAAATAATAGTCTGTCTTACAACTTAGAGTAAAATGACATGGTTAAGTTGATGGTGTTGATTTTTCTTCCGGACAGATTATATTTTGTTGCGTTTTTGCTGCAGCAAAATAATTTTGTAAATGGAAATTGAAAAAAAAAAAAAAAATGTCGTCAAGAAATAAACCTAAAATATTTACAATCAATGTTTTTGAGTGGAACTTTTCTTTTTATTATTTATTTTTAAATGTATTTAAAAATGTAAGTTTTCTTTAAATGTGATGTTTTCAATTTTCAAAGTTTTAGGAATTGATTCTTACAAAAAAAAAATGAATCATTTGAAAACAGCTAAATTTATCTCAAAACTTTTTTTTTATTAAAATGTTTTCCAAAATTCCATTCCTGGATGCATTTTTTTTTTTTATTTCCATTAACAAAACTTGTTTTTTGCAATAACAATGGAACTAAATTCCCTCCATAACTCTTCTCACCTTCTTTAGATTCTTGATCTTCTTGTCTGTCTCTGGGTCGCCGCTGCTTGCCTCTGATTGGCTGTTGCTCACAGGGGCGGGAGCAGACGCAGGTTCAGGGTCAGGTTTGGCCTCCTGCATTAAAGTTAGCGTACAGATCATCAATGATTAGAAAGATCATCAGAGAGATGACGTAACGAGGGACGAAGCATCCAGAGTCTGTTCACCTGTTTGGCTGCTTTCTTAGCTTCGCGCTTCCTCTGGTTCTTCAGAGCAGACTTGGAGAGACTCTTCTCTCCTGAGTGTCCTTTTCGGAGGTCCTGAGGAGGCTCATCCTCATGCTGATAGAAGACAAACACTAACATTTCTATTTCTATAATCACATACATAAGGTATTCAGATCTAGTTAATAATTCGAAGAAAAACGTTTCAGTGGCAGAACAGGAACTGGTCCGCTTCCTGCTGCTTCCTTACCAGTTTGGTGCTGGGTGTGGCGGGTAGGTGTCTCAGTGCTGGTGGGCGGTACGCCTGCGTGGGTGCAGCCTGAGTGGTCCCCAGCTCACTGGGTGCTGCCTGGTATTTTACGGGGCGCTCAGGAAACGCCCCGCTTGGGAAGGACTGCCAGCACACCTCCCAAAGCTGCGAGTTCTCAGCAACGCTGTGTTTGTGCAGCACCGAGCCTGTGTAGTGCCAGATCTTAAATCCGTTACTGACCCGCAGCCGAGGGGAACACGTTGCCGTGACGATGTGCTCGCCATCCGGACACCAGGAGAAAAAGGTGGCGTCCGGAGCCTCGGGCTTGGACACCTGAGGGGCAGAGAGTCATGGGGATGAGACCTTTGGAAAAGTGAGCGGACTTGGAAAAATAACAGCAGAAAGCTGCTGACATGGAGTACCAGGAAAAATCGTGTGCTATACGAAGCCAACATGAGCCAACGTGTAAAATGAGGTGGAAATAAGAAGCTGACATTAACCAGCAGATAAAACAGCTACTAGTGCAGATGTTGCCTTAAAATAAGATTATTACCGTTAACCTGTAATAGCAGTAACAATAACAAAGCTACTTTTACAGCAAGCTTTGATATTCATTTTTACTTTATAGTGAAATAGTTTGGAGAAAAGTACAACTTTGTACTTTGTCAATAGTAGGATATACGCCATGTCTACACGGTTCATATTACAGGAATCTGGTGAACATTAATATAAGGAATCTGTTCAGCAGGAGCTGAATTACCACTCAACTTTAAAATAAAATAAAAATGTATTTGCTAGTGGAAAAACTGTAATTTTGAAAAAAAAAAAATAGTTAAGATAAAAGGTTTTTAAGGCTTCAATGATGTGGTTTTTCAGCCACTTTTGTTTCCCAAGCACATGAGGATCTGCAGCTGAACCTGAATGCCTTATGCTACGTTCAGACTGCACAATGCAGAAGCAGCAAAAACATGCGTGCTGCTTCATTTTTGGTGCTCTAGCTGCGCAGTCGAAAAGCAGGTCTGATGCGTGTTGGGCGGAGCTACGCTATCCGTTCTTTGTGTCCAGATGCGTCTGATGCTCCTGTGTTCAACGGCAGAGAGCGCTTTTGCTATATTTGCTGTGATCAGTGGGTAAAAAGTAGTTCTAATGTTTTTTTAGTGAGAAAGTCCACCTGAAAACTTTAACTGCGCAGTCAGTTTATCAAGATAACGATCCTGCCTTCAAATGTTATTTCGCTGTTGGAGCTGCTCAGACCCCCGTACACCGGCGGTCCGCTGTAACTGGGAATCCCATTCAACAGCAGCCTCTGGCCCGGTCGCCTCTTCGCGGTTTTCCGCTACCATTTGCAGCGGCTGGAAGGTATTTTTCATGTACATAATCCAAACTGCAGGCACCAGAATAATGAAAGCAAACATATTTTACTGATAGTTTTCAACATTTTAGGTTAATTTAGGCGTTAATAAACTGTTTCAGAGGAGTGATCATAGCGATCTGCATCAGCAGTGCTGTGTCTGTCTCCCTGCCAGCTCCCAGATCAGCTTCTCTGATTGGTTGAAGCTCATGACGTGCTGCTCCTGCTGCAGGACCTTTTGCTGCGCCTTGTTCACTATTGACCTAGCATGTAAACTGGCCGTTTCTGCTGCCGCCAGCGCTTGCGGTCTGAACGTAGCATTATAGAAAGAGGAAGATGACCAGAAATGGTTGGAAGAGGATGGCGCCCCCTAAAGCTGTGGCAGAAATATGGATATATGTCTGCTGCCATGTTGTTTTCAGTGTTACACCATGAACAAATGTATTAAAGGCTCATTTAAATAGCATTTGTTATTTAATGGAAACATCACAACTACAAAACTTTGCATTTCTGAAATTAGCAGAGAATTAAAGTTTGGCTCACATTTGTAAATGAAACACTACAAGAGAGAGGAGTTCATTTAAAGGCCTTCTCTGTTCTCAGCAGCTTGGGCAGCAGCGCCTCGTGCTAATGCAGCATCATGTTTACATCACATCAGACCTGAGTGTTCATGCTGAAGGCAAACCCCTCACCTGTTTATACTTCTTCACGTCCCAAACCTCCATATGGCCTCTTAGGTTCCCGAAGCCAGCCAGTACAAGGATGTGACCCTGAGGACTGAGACCAGGAAGGATGATCACTCTGCAGGAATTCACTGTGAGGAGCCGCATTTTATCAGACACTAAAGGCTTTTAGAGTGAAAACTGTAGCTTTGCATCTACTAATAGATTTCCTCGTGTAAAAATCATTTGCGTAAACAAGAGCGCTGGCAGAGCTGTAGAAAAGCCGCTCTCACCTGTAGTAGGCAGCATTGCGGGGACCGGTGCCAAAGTCGAACACCGGGTCACACTTCAGGTTGAAGACCGTGGCTTTGGCCGGCATGAAGCCGTACACCACGCAGAACTCCATGGAGTTTGGACTCCACGCCACGTCGTAGATTGGCCCGTTTTTCGCTGTTTGAAAAGTCAAATGGAGGAGTTAGTTTTCGGAATCAGAGCTGAAGCTTTTATTCGGACTGAGCCCAGTTCTTACCGAGCTGAACCAGCGCCGTCTCTCCGTTCACTGCCAGGTAGTGCAATGTCTGCTCGCCATAATATGAAGCTCCGCTTTTGTCCACCTCGGTGCTCGCCGTGACCAGGATGGCCGACGCTGAGTGAAGGAAACCCAAGTTAACCTTGAAGATGATCCTCTCTGAACTCATTGCTTAACTCTCACCTTTTTGGTTCCACTGCATTCTGACTTTATCTGCCTTAAAGAAGCTCTTGTTGGCCAGCGCAGCGCTCGGCCCGCCCAGAACCGGGTACTGATACAGACGCACAAATGATGGCGCTCCTTTGATTCCTGGGACATATATGGCAACCTGCAGGGACAGACAGGACAGACGTGATGACACGCCCCACATAGTGGTGTATGGGTGTTGCTCTTTGCAGGCTCTGACCTTGCTGGGCTGAGCTCCAGGCGACAAAGCAAAGTCAGATACTTTCTGCATGTGCAACTTGTTGGCGATTGAATCTAAAGGAGAAAAGAAAAAGATACTGATGTTACTAGAAGGACACAAATACACTTCTGCATCGCAATC